GAAAACCGATCCTGACGAGGCAGTTGTGAAGGTGTCGCTGCAAGAGCCGCGGGGCTTGTTTAATTTCGTAAAGGGATTTTGCCAGCTGACACACTTTTGTGGGATCCTCGATGAATCCGTGGGATTGCTCGACGAAGATTTCGGCGTCCACAGGTGCGTACAGGAAGGCGTTGGCGACATCGATCTGGCGTAGTGGTAGTCTTTTCGTGGCCGCGACGGCGAGCAGAATGCGCAGGGAGATATGTCGTAAGACTGGGGTGAAAGTCTCCATGTAGTCGGTTCCATATCGCTGGTCGAAGCCTCGTACGACCTAGCGAGCCTTGAAGCGGTACACCCATTTCCCCGAGAGCGCATTCTTCCCGTTGGTTTTTGTTGCAGGTACCAGCTCCCATGTATTTCGGTCTTGCAGGGCCTTCAGTTCCTTTTCCATTGCTTCCTTCCATTTTGCCTTGTGTTCCCCCCCCAGAGCCTGCGACAGAGTTGTAGGCTCGCGCGGTGACGTTGGCGGTGGGCTCTGGACGGCGACCCATAGTCCAAGTATCTGCTGGCCCGTGGGTGTGTGTCTAGGGGAGTTGTCATTCGTGGGATAAGCTGCTTCGTCACCGTCTTCGGGATCAGGTAAGAAACTTGGTCTGATGCGTTCAGAGACATTTGTTGCTACCGGTTGAGGTGTAGCGTAACCCTGGTCAGCGAAGTGGTAGTAGGTGTCGAGGTTGTTACTATCGAGAGGATTGTCATCGTCTAGTGGGACGGGCACGGAGCAGTAAGGGAGTGGTCCGGCAGCTTCTGAGGCTCCAGGTACGTTTTCTTCTGCTGCGTCAGCTTCGGCAGCACGATCGGTGAAGGACTGAAGGCCCTCGAAGCCGTCGGTGGGGTCGTCTTTGTTGGCGATGTTGTCCAGGTAATGTTGCAGTGTCAGTCGCTCGTAGAAGATTACATCACGTGAGGCCACTATGGTGTTGTCCTGAATGTCGAGAAACTTCCAGGCTTGAAAATGTTTTGCGATGCCGAGGTGTAGTCCCCACTGTGCTCATTGAGAGAATCGCCCTGCTCGGGCTGTGTGGGGTCTGTACTGTACCATGCAGCCGAAGACACGAAGTAATTTTGTGCTGCCCTGTTTTCCTGTCCACAGCAGGTGCGGTGATGCGCTGTTGGGAAGTGATGACGAGGACAGCAAATTGTGCACGTGGACTGCATGCGTCATCGCGTCAGACCAAAGTGTGTTGGGCAGTCTCATCCCCAGGAGCAGCTTCCGCATCGTCGTCTGCAAGGTCCGGTTCATCCTCTCTGCAACCCCCTGCTGCTGGTGAGCGTAGGGCAGGGACACCAGGCGTCTGATGCCTCTTTCTCCCAAGTAGTTCTTGAATCTTTTGTGACTGGCACTCCAGTGCTCCGTCTGACAGGAAGCTCTTGAGTTGCGAGCCCGATTCTCGTTCAGCGATGGGGAGCCACGTCGTGAAGGCTTCGAACGCTTGATCATGTGTTTTGAGGTTGTAGTGCCTAACGTATCGTGTTGCTGCGTCGATGAACGTGGTGACATAGTTGTACTCTGCTTCACTGTTGTCTCGAGGCATATTTAAGATGTCGCTGTAGACTTTTTCCATCGGTGCGTATGCAGGTGCACTTGGATTGTGGTGCGACAAAAAATGTTGGTGTGGAAGATCAGCTTCGGGACACGTGAAGCATCGTGCGCGGGGTCGTCGAAGCTCCTGGCCGCTCGTTGTGAGAAGAGCATTTTTTTCTAATACTCCCGCTTGTATGGTTTGTAGTGCTGTGCTGTTTGCAGGATCTCCGAGGCGTTGATGCCAGATGTTGTCGAGAGCGCGATGGCCGGGTGAGCGCTGGTACATGTCGGTGTTGGAGAAGAACGCGACGACCGTGGCGGGGCTGTGGCAGACTCCTCGGGTGATGGGCATTAGTTGATCCGCGTCGGATGGCGGTCCTCGGATTGCTGGTGATGGCGCACGGCTGGGTCCTGCTGCTGCTACTGCAAGTGATGTCGGGTGAGGGACGCTTGTTGGTACTTGTCGTTCTTGTCGGATGATTGCTAATGCTCGTATTCTTCTGCTGCAGGGATGGTGTTGGAGTACCAGAATCCGTCTGGAGTGAAATCGGGGTCAAGATCTGGTGGATGCGTCCAGGCGGCGAATGACACGATGCCGTCGCTGTCTGCAGTTCCACGGTCGGGGACGAAGTCCAACACGAAGACGCCCGACTTCAGGAGAGCGCGACCTATGAAGAGGTCGCCTTTCCCGTGGTAAAGTCGAAACTCGTTAGCGTCCGAGTCGCATTCCAGGTGAATTCTCTTCGCCATTAACTGGCTGACGCTTAGTAAATTGTATCCCAAGTTGTCGACGATGAGAACCTTGTTGAGTTGTAGTATGACGTTTGTCTCCATTGACTGAAGTTGAACCACTCCTTGTCTATTTGTTTTCAGGTTCTCGTTGTTGGCGACGGTGATGATGACATCGCGGTTGAGGCGTCGCTCCCATTGCACGAAACGCCCGGAAGAACACATGTGTTGGTCGCAGCAACTGTCCAAGAACCAGGTGTTTCGCCCAGTGGGTTCGGCGTTGGCGACTGCAGCGTACGTCGGGTTGACCTGGAGACCTTGTGAGCGTGGCGGTGGCAGTTCTTCTTCGTCTGGAGCGTAAGTTGGTGGTGACTCGGGTCTGCAGCTGTCGATGTGTACCATGCAATTGATGATGTTGGGTGTGTCTCGTTCAGGTGTAGAGGAGCGGCTTGGCGGATTCTCTTGAGTGGAGGCGACTTGCGGATCTGCTGGACGGTAAACTCGAGGGCGCGTACAGTTAACCTTGGAGTGTCCGGATGTCTGACAATTGTGGCAGAACGGCGGCACGACGGTGAGACCCCTGGTGTCATATCGATTCTGCTTATCCCATCGGTTGTAGTTGTTGTCGTTTCTTCTTTGAGTGTAGAAGACTAATGGCTGCTGCTTGTTCCGTGGTTGTCTTTCTTCAAACAGGTCCATCTCCTGTTGTTCAGCATGAAGCTCGGCGCAGAGGCGCATCTCGGAAAGTCGTCCGTGGGCGCGAAGAAGTGAGCGGGTGGTTCTCCATTTTGGCCCAAGCCCGGCGAGAACAAGTGTCACGAAGCTTTCTTCAGTGATTGTACCTCCGCACTGAAGCAGGAGGTCGCGGAGCGTTTGGCAGCGACTCATATACTGCATCGCCTTTTCTCCGGTCTTCATTTGTATTGTTGTCAGCTGTTGCATGAGTCTGCTTTGTGTCACATTGTCGTTTGCCTGATAGAGGCACTTCAGATGATGCCAAGCGAGCTCCGCGGAGTTTCCGTAGCTCCGATACGTTCTGATGCTCTGTTGCTCTTGTGGTGATAGGTTTCGCAGGAGAACTGTGTACGCCAGCAGGGACTAATAAGTGAAGATTTCCTGTTCCTTTGCAGTGCCATTGCTTGGAAGTGGCAGGGACCCGTTGAAGTATCCCAAGAGGTGCGCGGCCTCCATCAGCAGCTCGAACTCAAAACTCCAGGTAAAGAAGTCGTGTCCGTTGAACGGTGAAGATGTTTGCAGTTTGATCACATGTGAAAACTGCGCCTGGAGACTCAATATCTCGTTTGGTGTCTGTTGTGATGCAGCTGCTGTTGGTTGAGCATGGGGCGGCATGAACTCGAACGTCCCTGGTGAAGAGTGATAAGGCGCAAAGGTAGGCGCTTGGTTGTGCCACCCGAATGATGAGTTGTCGAGGCTCATTGGTGCTAATCCCATATTTCCCCCTTGCTCTGTGTTGAATGCGCAGGTGTCCTTGTCTGCTGCTGCGGATCAAAGTGTGACATGAAGCTGAAGAACCTTTCCATAAGGTTTGGGTCCACGCCTGAAGAGGGTGAAGGGGTCACCAGTTGTGGTACTCTTCCTGTTGTTCCTTGAGCGGCGCTGGTCTCAGTTTGTAGTCCTGAAGTGTGTAGTCCGGAGATGCCGGGTTGAGTGTCTTGGGCGCTGGGTGAGCCCGTAGAAGACTTCTTGCCCTTGTTGTCCATGACTTGTAATCGATGAACCTCTTGATGTGCTTTGACTGTAGATAGAACGTGATTGCTGGGGATTTTGGTCTCTGACCAGATCTCATACCATGTTGGGCTGAGAAAAGCCCTTGGGATCTTTTCAGAGACTAAGTCCCACTTGTACAAGATGCTTGAATAGTGCAGCGGAAGTGTTGAGTAGTTGAACCCTTGCACTAGTACCTATGTGAGAGCAAGTGATTGATTAAAAGAAACAAGCATACAACAATATATAGAAAAATAGGAAATAGAGCAGTTGTAGAATACAGTTGAAGAAACGGTTATCGAGTCGCACAGCGACTCGATCGATGGTTCGGTTACCACCCTTGCAGTCGTAACGGTAAGTATTTGAGGTATTTCCAACAGAACCCTTGCACTAGTATGTGAGAGCAAGTGATTAACTAGAAGGAATAAGCATACAGCAATATGTAGAAAATAAGAAATGAAGCAGTTGTAGAATACAGTTGAAGAAACAGTTACCGAGTAGCACAGCGACTTGATTGTCTGTTCGGTTACCATCCTTGCATTCGTAACGGTCAATCGCAACCTTCGGTTGCGATCCTTTGAGTCCCTTTGTCCTTTCGTGTTCTTTCGTTCAACCTCCTCTTCGTGTAACCTTCGTTGACTCGCGTACCCGATACGACCTTTCTTGAGTGTAGTGTTACACTTCAGAAACGCTTAACTCTTTGAGTTATTTCCAACATGTCCAAACGCAGTTGATGTTATTGGAGGGCCTCCATTTCATAAGTTTTGCGAGTAAGCTTGTTCTCTTTCCTAGTGCACCGTTTAGATGTATGGTGACATGTTGCTGTTAATCATGTACCGTAGCTCCAGAAGTACAGATAACTTCCGATTTGCCCAACTCCCTAGTGCGTACTTGCTTTGGTGGTTACTCTAGCGAGCAGTGGGCAGTGTGGTGGGAGAGGAGTGATGAGAAAACTGGAGGTGGAGGGGATTTGGTTGGAAGCGAGGCGAGGGGGGAAGAGCAGGTTAGGGTTTCACCATCCATGGCTGCGCGTGCTGCTCCACGTTGCGACTGCTGCCCTCTCTGAATTCCCACACCCTTTGCCGGCCATAAGAGCCGCAGAGCGGCGCTTGGCCGATTGAATCTATCGTATTTGGCTGTGTTTCCCTGCAGCGCATCGCTAGTGGGCACCGGGTCGGGCCGTTGGTGCGCTGCTGAAGTACCTTGTCTCGTGTGCGGACGTTTCGTTCATTCTCTCTCGTTGCTCTCCTCTCTTTTTTTTTTTCTCTTTCACGTTCCGCGCTCCAACCTCTCCGCTCATCTCGCGACCATTCGCGATGTCCTGGTTACTGAATTCGCTCGTCGGCAGTCCGCGAGCCGACGACGACGACGACGACGACGACGTTGACGAGGAGACCGACGACAACCTTCTCCCCCCCGCGGGCTCCTCCGGCCTCCCCGACAGCCCCGACAGCGCCGCGCGGGAGGCGGCGGCGGCGGGGGTGCGCGACGACCTGACGGAGCTGCAGCAGTCGCTGTCCAAGCACTGGCGCGGCGTCGCCTCCTTCCTCACCGGCGAGCCCCGCCGGCCGCCCTCCGCCCCCCACCGCCACGCGCCCCCCCCGCCATCCGCGCTAGACCAACCCCCCCCCTCCGCCTTCGCGGGCGAGGCGGCGTCGTTGGAGCCGGCTGCGCCGCAGTCGGCGGAGGAGACCGCAGGGGCGGCGGGGCTGTCCCGCGACGAGGTGCGCGCGCTGCGGTGGCGGCAGGAGTTGTCGCGGCAGGCGGGGAAAGACGCGGACAAGGGGAAGGGCAAAGCCGCCGCCGCTGCTCCGCCGCTTGGCCGCGCGGGCGATGCCGCGGGAAGATCTTCCGCCGGAGGAGCGGAAGGCGCGGGGGAGGGGGACGCGGAAGGGGAGGAGTCGGAGGAGGATGCGAGCGCGCGGCACGCGCGGCTGTCGGGCGTGCGCGAGGACCTGGCGGAGCTGTCGCAGCGCGTGAAGCGCGGGCTGACTTCCGTCATCCGCGTCGTCACGGGCGACGACGCCGCTAAGGCCGCCGGCAAGGGCGCGAGGGCTGGCGGACGAGGCAAGGCGACGCGGGGCGACGGAGACGACAGCGAGCAAGCGGCGGGGGAGGGGGAGGAGACGGCGGAGGAGGAAGGGGAAGACGAGGAGGAGGAGGAGGTGGAAGAAGAAGACGAGGAGGGCGAGGAGGAGGAGTGGTCGGAGGGCGCGGGCGAGACGCTGCTGGAGGCGGCGCAGGAGGACATCAAGGCCATCTCCACGTCGCTCGCCACCGGCATCACGGGCGTCGGCCGCCTCGCCTCGCGCCTCTTCGCCGCCACCGACGCGCACCTCGGCCGCGCGGAGGGCTCCGACGGCGCAGGCGGAGAGTACGCGGAGGGCGCGGAGATGGGGGAAGCGTTCTCGGAGGCGGAGGAGGCGGTGGGCGTGACGGCGGACGTGGTGCAGTTCGCGGCGAACCTGGCGGGGCACCCCGAGACGTGGATCGAGTTCCCGCTGCCCGAGGAGGACGACGACGACCAAGGTGAGGCGCCGCACTGCGGAATACCACGCCCATCCATACTGCCGCTCGTACTGCCGCTCGTACTGCCGCTCGTACTGCCGCTCGTACTGCCGCTCTTTCTTCCATGGCGCGCGCTCTTCACCCATCCATGTGTTTCAGGGCCCGTGACAGGTGCGATGCCGTGTGATGCTCTCACGCCCATGCCAGCTGTCCCGCACGCCCTTCGCTTGTGCATCGCATTCAGCAGTATCGCTGCGCCGCACTGCCGCCTCGTGACCTTGCTGCTAGAAGTATTGCTGCCCTCCGTGCACAGGATCGCCCTGCCGCCCACTGTACCCCCGTGACGCAACGCACACGGACGAGCATTCCGAGAATAGGGCCGGGAGAAGGGGGGAAGAGGGTGGTTCGTGGGCCGTGTATTTGGCGGATAGCGCGTGTCTAGATCAGCAGATGGGTTCTGAGTAGCCCCAGGCTCATGACCCGCGTCCGCCGTTCGCGCTCCTCATTGCCCGTGCGGCACTGCAATGGCCCCTCTTCTCGCACCACTCGTAATGCCTTGCTCTCCGCATTTTCAGGGTGAGGGGGGTGGGGAATGGAGGAGGCGGAAGAATCGGCTCTACTCTTTCCAAGTGCGCGGCCAGCAGAAGGAGAGCATGGAGGCAGTGGAAGTACCTGCTCCCCCCACTTTCCCCATAAAATCTCTCGCTCTCTGTCTCTCCGCTCTGGAGTTGGCGGGCGAGCAGGAGGAGCACATGGCGGCGGTGAACATGCACCCCCTACTCTCCATGCCCCCCCGTCCCCCCGTCCCCCCGTCCCCCCGCGTGGTCCCCCGGACTTCGAGGTGGTGGGTGAGCAGGGTCACATAAAGCGGTGAAAGCGCTTGCTATTTCCGTCCCCCCCCACTCCGCTCCTTACAAACTCTTGCTGCCTGGTTCTTTCCCAACCCCTCCCTTCCGGTGGTGCAGACTTCGAGGTGGTGGGCGAGCAGGAGGAGCACATAGAGGCGGTGGAGGCGCGCGTGCCGCGGCTGGTGGCGCTGCGCATGGAGCTCACCCCGCAGCACCTCAGCGAGCGCCGCTTCTGGAAGATCTACTTCGTGCTGCTGCACTCCCGCGTCCCACCCGCCACTGCTGCCCGCCTCTCCACTCCCCCGGTGATCATGCCATGCCATGCCATGTTCGCTGCGCGACTCAGCTGCACCTGCTAACAACAGCACTGGACCACCTATTTTCACTTGTGACATTGCACTGCTTTAGTGATTGCCTTTCTTCTGGGTTTGTCTCTCTTTCACATGTGCTTCTGCACTTCTGCCCCTTACTCTGTTTCCTCGTCTCATCTCTCTTTCCTGCCCCCTCACTTGGCCTCTTTTCTCTGCTCCTCGTTGCACGTCCCTCCTCTCACCCGTTCGTCGCCCGGGCGTCAGATCCTGAGAGCCAGGGACCAGGTACTGGCGGCGCTACGCCAGCAGACAGCAGCAAGCGCGGCTGGGGACTCGCCTTCCCCTTCCCCTTCCCCTTCCGCTGACGCCGGTACCCCCGCTGCTGCTGCTGCCATTGCAGCAGGCACAATAGGCGGGGAGGCTGCTCCTGCTGCTGCTGCTGGTACTGGCGGTGGAGAAGGTGCAGAGGGGGGCAAGGCAGGGGGTGCCGTGCGACAGGGAGGAGAGGAGGGGAAGAAGGGAGGGGGTGAGGCGGCAGGCAGCAGTGCTGCCGAGGCAGCGGCAGGGAGCAGGGATGAGGACGCGGACGATGATTGGCTGGAGGAGGAGAGTGGGGGGGTGCTGGGGGGGGGTGGTGGGGCAGTGGGAGGAGGGGCAGGAGCGGTGGATGATGGGGAGGACGTGTCGTTCAGTGACCTGGAGGACGAGGACGACGAGGAGGGGGATAAGGCGAAGGCAGGGGGTGGGGGAGTGGGAGAGGGGAGGAGCAGCGGTGCAGGGGAGAGCGGGGAGGGAGCAAAAGCAGGTGCAGCAGAGGACGGTGGCGATGATCTAGATGATGATCTGGACGGTGAGGATGGCGATGAGGGGGCGAGTGCGGCTGCCACTGAAGGTCAGGGGGCGGGCACAGATGGCAGCAGTGGTGCGGAGGGCGCACAGGCACAAGGCCCTTCAGGGGCAGCAGCGGCTGCTGGAGCCGAGGCTGAGGCTGCTGATGCTGCTGAGGCTGGTGGGGGGGCAGGTGAGAAAGGCCGTGCAGCAGAGGCAGGTGCGAGTAGGGGAGGAGCAGGGGAGGAGGCGAGGAAGGAGGAGTCTAAGGAAGGGGCTAAGGAGGGGTCGCCTGGGGATGGTGAGGGGGCGGAGTGGGTGGATGTGCAGGGCAAGGGCAGTAGCAGCGGCACTGGCAGCGGCAGTGGCAGCGGGTCGGATAAGACGGACTGGCTGACCGTGGGCGAGGAGGACATCGCCTGATGCCGCTGCTCATGCTGCGCCAAGCACGGTGATGCATGAAAGGTGCGGCATGCTGGAAAAGAATGGGGGACATACAGCTTGGAAAAATGCAGCATGAGAAGAAAACACCCTTAAGCGTACTAGATTGCACTCCATCCTCCTCCAGTGCGGCGCCATTGACATACCTACTATGAGAAGCATGGGGAACAGGCAGTGCTGCTGCACTGCTTGCACCCCCCCATCCAAGGGAAACTTCTCTGTGGTATGGGAGCAACGGATTGATGCAGGAGGTTTATGCTCTACTAGTGCTTTGGCCCCTATTCCTCACCATCTCCCTTGTCGCCCTGCCCCTGAACCCTGCCTTGTGTGTTTCTCAATTTCTTATTGTGTTGTCTGATGCTCTCGGCCTGGGGGTTTTCTGCTGGGTCATCCACTTCTACAGCTAGCTTTCCCGTGCCCACCAATCCGGCCTCTCAGGAATACCGTCCTTTAGACCTTGGTTGTATATAATGACGATTGTTGCAGCTGTCATGTCACCAGTTCGTTGCACAACTGTTCAGAAATTGCTGTTGGGTTTGTTAGCAGTATGCCGTCTAATGCTATGATGCACTCACAAGATGTGTTCTGTAATGTGATGTTTGTGGTGTCGTACTGTATGTGGTATGTGAAGAACTGCAAAAAAGGGCAGACTGAGGGGGGGAAAGGCCCAGGCTACTGCCATGTGAAGTACCGATATGATATGCTCTTCCCAATTAAAAGTTTCCCAGTTCAGCCCAGTGCAGCCAGCTTGGCCACAAATGAGTAATTCTAGTGTTCAATAGATGAGTCGTCTATCGGCAGCTGTCCATCAATGCGCCCAGAGCCCCACGCTCATTCTAGTGCACCATCGCGTTCTACCTCACCACCACCACCACCACCACCACCACCACCACCACCACCACCACCACCACATTGCGCTACAGCTATGCACAGCCAGCCTGGCTTCTTGGAGGGAGCCTGCCGGACCGACTTCTCTGGCAGAAGGCAAAGGCACATGTGTATGCCTGTGCGCCCAGCTCCACACGGCGGATGCTTCACATGAGCGTCTTCCTGACGCTCTAGCACAGGCAGCCTGTCTTGCTTGGATGGTCGAGCACCGCAGGTATGTGAGGGCGACAGCTATGGTACATGCATGCATCCAAGTGAGTGTGTCAGCCATCGCACTCCACTAACCCCCCTCACACTAGAACAGCCAGCCTGTCTTCATTGAGGGGTCCATCCAGCCGGACAGGCTTCTTGGGCAGGCAGCTAGGGCACACGTACGCACCGAGCTGTAGTAAGTGCGAGCACGAGGAGCATCCACGCACCACCTCCCTAATGCTAGAACAGCCAGCCTGTCTTCTTGGGTGGGTCCAGCCTGACGGGCTTCTCGAGCAGGCAGTTGAGGTACATGTGCGCGCCCAGCTGCTCGCCCACGTCGGGCTTGGGCAGCACGTGGTAGTACAGGCGCTTGTACCCCAGCGCGTTGATCAGCGCCACGTAAACCGGCATCTCGTCTAGTGGCGCGTAGAACATCTCAAACCATAGCACGCCGCCTGGGGGGGGTGTTGTTTAAGGGGAGAAGAGTGAGAGGGGGTGATTCAGAAGAGTCACGGGGGTGAGTGAGGAGCAATGGGCGGTGCCAATGGGTCCCAATCCATGTGGCGCAATGGAGGCAGGGATGGTGAGAAGGAGGTGATGTGGCATGCCAGGCATGGCGCACCACAGGGAACCCAGGCGGCTCAAACGGTGACATGGCATCGCAGGTATGGTGTGTCATGGGGAACACGTGCAGACGGCAGGTGAGAGGGCAAGGAGGGAATGGGTTAGCAGAAAAGAGGCCAGTGAAGCAAGCATGGCGCAGCAACACACGAGTGAGTAGAAGCAGTGGCAGCAATGGCAGCAGTGGCAGCAGTGGCAGCAGTTGGGGCAAGCACAGCACGGGTGCACACAACAACTTGGAGTACGCAGTCCCAGTCAAAGAGCAGCTCCTGGCGTAGCAGCATGCACAGGTGCTTCACTCAACACACCGGCCACACACGCACCGACTCGGAGCACGCGGTCCCAGTCGAAGAGCAGCTCCTCGAACTCGTGCATGGGCAGGTACTTGATGCTGTTCACACAGTGCACCACGTCCAACGTGTTGTCAAACAGCGGCAGCCGTTGCTGCCGGGGGCAGAAGGGAACATGCGGGGAGTATGGGGGGAGGATGGGGGGAGGATGGGGGAGGATGGGGGGAGGATGGGGGGAGGATGGGGGGAGGATGGGGGGAGGATGGGGGGAGGATGGGGGAGGATGGGGGGAGGACGGGGGGAGGATGGGGGGAGGATGGGGGAAAGAGAGAAGAAGGGGAGACGGGAAGAAGGAGATTAGAGGAGAAGTGGACGTGCGTTGATCCCCAGCATTGCCTCTGCCTGCCCACAGCTCACCTGTGCTTCCGCCTTGGGATCTGTGCGGGACATGGGCAGCAGACATGCGCACACACGGCATGGGGCGAGAGGTGAAGGGCAATGAACTGATGAACAGGGGGGTCCATGCCAAGTGGGGAGAGGACGACGGCGCACAGCGAGGGCACGATGAGACACTGCAGGAAGTGAACTCCAGTCACAAGCCAAGAGATAGGCATTGTCTTGTATCCATGGAACCGCACATCCCTATCTCCCTTTCTCAATCACCCGCTTTTATGCCACAACACAACCCTTCCCTTACGCGGACTTGCGTGAAAAACGCCTAGTGCATGTGCTGCAGCAGTGAGCACCTGTGACAATGTAAAGCTGATGAAAGGTGGACGTGTGCATTGGAGAGACGAGGGAGGGAGCATGATAAAATACTCTCCCTCAAGAATCTAGAACCCTACATTAGACCCTGCATGCCAAACCTATGCCCTATCACTCTAAAGCATACAGTAACCCTACACCGTACATCCCACACATGAGCCTGCACCCTCCTCTCGTGCAGGGCGTACAGAGCGGAATAAACCCTGGGGCTGCAATGGGCTCCATGCAGGGTAGGACCTGCTGCCCTCACCTTGTAGGGGGCGAGCACGGAAACGAGTCCCCTGACCGCGTTGCCCTCCATGCACGTCACCAGCCCTTCGCGCCACCCCGTGAGAGTCTCCTAAAACCTTTCCCCCAAGCCGCTTCTAACGGTGCTTACGTGCCACATTCAAACGCACTTGACCGCGCTGGCGCCCCCCTCTCTCTCACTCACCTTTCGCAGGGCGAGCAGCGGGAGCCCCCTGAGCGCAATGGCCTCCATGTACGGCAGCAGACACTGGCGCCGCCCCTGACAGTCTCCTAAACTTTCCGTCGACACGCCTCAGCCGGTGCTAATGTGCCGCATTCAAACGCACTTGACCGCACTGACCCCCCCCGTCTCTCACCTTGTGCGGCGCGTGCAGCGGGATGAGCCCCCTGAGCGCGATGGTCTCCATGTACGGCAGCCCCTGGCGCCGCCCCGACACAGTCTCGACGTTCATGGCGGTGGTGAGCAGCGTCACGTTGTACCGTGCCATGTGCGCTGCAAAGCTGCCTGTGCCGCCACCCGCGTCCAACCCGACCCTAAGAGACAGGCACGGTGGGGCAGGGGGAGCGAGCGGGGGAGATCAGGGAGCGAGTGGGGAGAGGAAAATGGGTGGGGAGGGAGCTGCCTCCCCAATAGACCCCAGAGACTGGAACGGTGGACGCAGAAGAAAGGGACCGGGGAGATGCGGGAGAGTAGTGTGGGAGATTAAGGTTAGCATGCAGTAGCGCACGTGACGCTAACCACCTCCTGTATCGACAGCGACACACTAAAACAGCCATGATCTGACGCACACCACACACCGGAGGGGCCAGCAGAGCGGTGCGCACCTGAGCGACCCCCCTTCATCATTGCCGACCACCTCCTGGACGGAGAGCGAGCCGCAAAAGCCACCAAGGTCTGAGGCGCCTGGCGCACCTAGAGGGGGCCAGCAAGCAGCGCGCACCTGAGCGAGCCCTTCATCATGCTGACGACCTCCTGGATGGAGAGCGAGCCGCGGAAGTGGCGCTGCCAGCGGTTGCGCTCGATGCTCATGTTGAAGCACAGGCGGCAGTCGCCGATCAGCCGCGCGTTCAGGCATGCAAACGACTTGCACTGGTGGAGGTCCCACCGCACCGCCCCGTCCTTGAGGGCGCGCTGGCTGAAGAGAGAGTCCGGGAACGACATGGGCTGGCGACGGATGGCGGGGCGGTGGGGGGGTGGGGGTTTGTGTGGGGTTTGAGTCAGGCTCAGAAGTCACCACTTTTGTGTGGAGAATGGTGAGTGGAGATGGAAGGGGATGCCTGCAGCAGCACCGCAGCATCGCAGACGGCGAAGAGGGCTGGGATAGGGTTAAAAAAGGCATTGTTGGTGGATGACAGAGGGCTGGGAAGGAAGGGAAGGTAGGAGCACACGCCGATGAGTACAGCCGCATTTTGTTTTCTTATGCCCCCAAGAACCTTGAAGCCCATTGCGTCACAGGTGCCACCCCCGATGGTGTCTGTATGGTGGTGCATCTGGAATGGCTCCAACACGTGGGATATTAAGAATGACGGCCGGCTGGGTGACGGCTGGCTGGGTGACGGCAGGGTGGGTGACGGCAGGGTGGGTGACGGCAGGGTGGGTGACGGCAGGGTGGGTGACGGCAGGGTGGGTGACGGCAGGATGGGTGACGGCAGGATGGGTGACGGTAGGGTGGGTGACGGCAGGGTGGGTGACGGCAGGGTGGGTGACGGCAGGGTGGGTGACAGCAGGGTGGGTGACGGCAGGATGGGTGACGGCAGGATGGGTGACGGCAGGGTGGGTGACGGCAGGGTGGGTGACGGCAGGGTGGGTGACGGCAGGGTGGGTGACGGCAGGGTGGGTGACGGCAGGGTGGGTGACTGCAGGGTGGGTGACTGCAGGGTGGGTGACGGCAGGGTGGGTGACAGCAGGGTGGGTGACGGCAGGGTGGGTGACGGCAGGGTGGGTGACGGCAGGATGGGTGACGGCAGGGTGGGTGACGGCAGGGTGGGTGACGGCAGGGTGGGTGACGGCAGGATGGGTGACGGCAGGATGGGTGACGGTAGGGTGGGTGACGGCAGGGTGGGTGACGGCAGGGTGGGTGACGGCAGGGTGGGTGACAGCAGGGTGGGTGACGGCAGGATGGGTGACGGCAGGATGGGTGACGGCAGGGTGGGTGACGGCAGGGTGGGTGACGGCAGGGTGGGTGACGGCAGGGTGGGTGACGGCAGGGTGGGTGACGGCAGGGTGGGTGACTGCAGGGTGGGTGACTGCAGGGTGGGTGACTGCAGGGTGGGTGACGGCAGGGTGGGTGACGGCAGGGTGGGTGACGGCAGGGTGGGTGACGGCAGGGTGGGTGACGGCAGGGTGGGTGACGGCAGGGTGGGTGACGGCAGGGTGGGTGACGGCAGGGTGGGTGACGGCAGGGTGGGTGACGGCAGGGTGGGTGACGGCAGGGTGGGTGACGGCAGGGTGGGTGACGGCAGGGTGGGTGACGGCAGGGTGGGTGACGGCAGGGTGGGTGACGGCAGGGTGGGTGACGGCAGGGTGGGTGACGGCAGGGTGGGTGACGGCAGGGTGGGTGACGGCAGGGTGGGTGACGGCAGGGTGGGTGACGGCAGGGTGGGTGACGGCAGGGTGGGTGACGGCAGGGTGGTGGGGGGGGTGACGGCAGGGTGGGTGACGGCAGGGTGGGTGACGGCAGGGTGGGTGACGGCAGGGTGGGTGACGGCAGGGTGGGTGACGGCAGGGTGGGTGACAGCAGGGTGCGTGACGGCAGGGTGGGTGACGGCAGGGTGGGTGACGGCAGGGTGGGTGACGGCAGGGTGGGTGACGGCAGGGTGGGTGACGGCAGGGTGGATGACGGCAGGGTGGGTGACGGCAGGGTGGGTGACGGCAGGGTGGGTGACGGCAGGGTGGGTGACGGCAGGGTGGGTGACGGCAGGGTGGGTGATGGCAGGGTGGGTGACGGCAGGGTGGGTGACGGCAGGGTGGGTGACGACAGGGTGGGTGACGGCAGGGTGGGTGACGGCAGGGTGGGTGACGGCAGGGTGGGTGACAGCAGGGTGGGTGACGGCAGGCTGGGTGACAGCAGGGTGGGTGACGGCAGGGTGGGTGATGGCAGGTTGGGTTACGGAAGGGTGGGTGACGTCCGGCTGGGTAACGGCAGGGTGGGTGACGGCAGGGTGGGTGACGGCAGGGTGGGTGACGGCAGGGTGGGTGACGGCAGGGTGGGTGACAGCAGGGTGGGTGACGGCAGGGTGGGTGACGGCAGGGTGGGTGACGGCAGGGTGGGTGACGGCAGGGTGGGTGACGGCAGGGTGGGTGACGGCAGGCTGGGTGACGGCAGGCTGGGTGACGGCAGGCTGGGTGACGGCAGGGTGGGTGACGGCAGGGTGGGTGACGGCAGGGTGGGTGACGGCAGGGTGGGTGACAGCAGGGTGCGTGACGGCAGGGTGGGTGACGGCAGGGTGGGTGACGGCAGGGTGGGTGACGGCAGGGTGGGTGACGGCAGGGTGGGTGACGGCAGGGTGGATGACGGCAGGGTGGGTGACGGCAGGGTGGGTGACGGCAGGGTGGGTGACGGCAGGGTGGGTGACGGCAGGGTGGGTGACGGCAGGGTGGGTGAGGGGGTGGGTGACGGCAGGGTGGGTGACGGCAGGGTGGGTGACGACAGGGTGGGTGACGGCAGGGTGGGTGACGGCAGGGTGGGTGACGGCAGGGTGGGTGACAGCAGGGTGGGTGACGGCAGGCTGGGTGACAGCAGGGTGGGTGACGGCAGGGTGGGTGATGGCAGGTTGGGTTACGGAAGGGTGGGTGACGTCCGGCTGGGTAACGGCAGGGTGGGTGACGGTAGGGTGGGTGACGGCAGGGGGGGTGACAGCAGGGTGGGTGGCGGCAGGGTGGGTGACGGTGTTGTAAAATATATATCCAACAACATGCATGCCTAGATTAGGAGGTGTAGTCATTATAATTATTGGGGGGTTGTTGGTTGGGTTGACCAACCCTTCATTTGGGTTGGTCAAGATTGGATTTGGTCCTAGACATTTGGTTGGCACAATTCCAACCAAATGGTCCTTGGTCCTAAGAACCAACCAATCACCAAGCAGCACACTTTGTGGTTGCTTGCCTTCCAAGCAACCTTTCTCTTTGGTCCACATTGTGGCCCATCAAAGAGCACCACACTTTGTGGTTGCTTGCCCCACAAGCAATCTCTCCCATTGGTCCACTTCATGGACAATAGGAGAGCTTCCCTTCCAACTCTTCCTTGCTCGTTGTTTTGTTCAATAGAGCCTCTTGGCTCCCTACTCCATTCAATATTTTCTCCTCAAAAACTAGTTCCTTCATTGTAATCAGAGCCAGAATGGCTCACGCCACCTATAGTCAATCCTAACTAGCACGGCCCTAAGCCGTCCCTCGTCGTCATCGAGCCTAGCCCTTTCTTAGGCTACTTCCTTGCTCCTTGTTATTTAGTATTACTGTGCCGGCCTCACCGACCACGTCCGCCAGCAGCTGCTCTACGAGGCTTCCCGCGCCGAGCATGACGCCACCACGGCTGCCTACAACACGTACCAAGCGGCGCTCGCGGAGTACGCCAGGCGCGAGCGCGCATACATCAACGACCTCGCCGCCTGGCGTCCTCCTCACCACCATTCCTCCCACCCTCAAGCGGGAGCTTGCTCCCACCTCCTCCTCCCACCTCTGGCGGCTCTTCAATGATCTCTATGATCAGCTGGACGTCGCCACCCTCTACTCCCTCATGAAAGAGTTCCAGAGCCTCACCATGGACTGCACTACCGGCGCAGCTGCCTTCACGCGTAGCATCCTCGACCTCGCTCGTCGTCTGGCGTCTCTTACCTGTACCCGGACCCAGTGCTCTGATGCCACCTCCTTGAAGGCTTGACTCCTGCCTTCGACACCCACAAGTTCGCCTACATGCAGCTGATCGACAAGCGCATCACCCCGGCTGAGGTCGCCCAGTGGATCATCACCACTGAGGCCGACCTCTTGCGCCATTCCTCATCTATTGCCCCGGTTGCTTAGCAGCGCAACAACAGGGGAGGGCGTGGGGGTGGATGTGGCGCTGGTCGTGGTGGTGGTGCGGGTCGTGGTGGCAGTGGCGAAGGACGTGGTGCCGCAGCCGCCTTTCCTCCTTGTCAGTATCTCCCTCGCTTTGGCCCCACGCGGGGTTAGCGTTGCGGCCAGACCACTCATGCCACTGATACCTAATTCAAGGCGCTCAGTGATGAGTGGTTTGCCTGCGGCAATTCCGGCACCCCCCCCCCGCTGGTCCTCCCTCTCTCCTCGCCCCACTCCTCAGGAGGTTCGTACCTCCCCTCTCTACCAGCCCGGCTCCTCCCCCTTGGCCCACCAGGCCGTCTCTCAGCAGCAACAGCTCCAGCAGCAGCTTGACCTCCAGTCGCAGCTCCCCCTTGCACCTCCTCCTATGGCTCCCCCCTAGCAGCCCTACCCCGCCTGGACCGCCGGCACCGCCGCCTACGCGGCTCATCTCTCGGGCGCGTCTCCTGCGCCCTCAGCCACAGGCAGGTGACTCCTTTCCCCTCCTTTGGTTTTGTTGGAATAGTTAGTCAGGTTGGAACCCCTGTCCCTTCTATGTATTCGGCTGCTATTAATGAGAATGTGATTCAGTACTCCGTCCCACCTCCTCCCCCACATCCCCCCCCTTCCACCACGCTGGACTTTGTCCTTGACAGTGGAGCCACAGAGTCAGTCCTTCGTGATGCTGGTACCCTTCACCCTCTCCCTGCCCCCACCTCTCTCCTTGGTGCAGATTCCAGCTTCTCTATTCCCTGTCGCCACACCTCTACCCTCCCCTGTCCCCTCTTCCCCTCAGGTACCGTTACTGGTTTACACATCCCCTCCCTTCGTACTAACCTCCTCTCCCAACGATCCCTGCAGCAGGCCTGTATCACCACCGTCTTCCCAGGTCGCGCTAATCACTGCCTCCTATACCATCCCACAAGTCGCCTCCTCTCCCGTATTCCCTTCTGTCCTCGCTCCCGCCTATATACCCTTCGGGTTCCTCCTCTTCCCTCTACCCAGGCAGTCTCCCACTCTCTCCCCCCCCCTCACATCCCTCCCCCTCCTCTCCCTCCTTCTAACCCAACCATTCCCCTCCTCCCCCCTGACCCAACCTGATCATGTTGATCCCTCTCCCATCCCACCGT